GACAGCGTTAAAATGCATTACTGCCGTAGTTTGGTTAATTGTGTGCTAAGTTTATTATTTGCTTTAAATAGTTTTCGGTTTTTCAACGAATTTTGGAAATAATCGGATGAGAAAATGTTGCATATACTTTATTTGACGCCGCACATCGTAGATCATCGTGTATACCAGATGCAGTAGGAATGTTTTGTTCAGATCAAGATAGTATCGAATAAATTCTGTTACATTATTCATAACATACTAGCTGGTACGGGCGCGTTGCTGCCGCAGAAGAAATAATTGTGGAAATATCGTTTTAAATTTGAGAGAGTTGTATTGTTTAATTTGGAGTGAACATACATTCATTGAAGTTGAATGATATATAACTTTCAAATAAATTGTCGGTACGATACGCGCGCCGCCTACTGTAAGTTAACTGTACTATGACTATAATCTTCGCGCAAGTGCAAGCAATAAGTTGACAAAGTTTTACCGCAATCTGATGAACGGTATGACAGCGCATAAAATACGAACAAACAAATATTAAATAAAACTATTTTTACGGATTTTATCGCGTTTAATTAACTTCAATGTGTAGTGTTCGCGTAAATATAAGAAATCATTAAACAAATATTAATTTTTATATATTAGATTTATTTATTTTCTAAATTATTTGACCGATTATATTAAGCAAAACACTAATTTATGATTTTGGATACGAGCAAGTCGTGAGAAGATTCCATCATCCTGTCATTTGACTGTTAAGAAACATCAAACCCGAATTGATCGTGATGTAATCGACCTCAATGGGTGAACGCTGATGATCATTTGACGTTTGACCTATACAATTCCATAACATTTTACTGTATCGGTTAAAAGTGTTTTTCTCACGGTTATAAGTATTAACCGAATTTGACTATAAATAAAATTCACTATTATGATGAACCCTTGATAGCGCAGTGGCTAGTGGGAAATAAAAGGAGAAGAGCATTCTCTTGCCAACAAGAGAGTCATCCATCCATCCATCCGTTACGGCCTATAAAAATCCACTGCAGAACATAGGTATACCCTGGTCTCCCCCATATATTGCCTCATCGAGATGATTTTGCTGAGGGATTTACTAGCATTTTTGCAGACCACGTGGAGGAGGTTATTTTCTTAACATACAGTGATAAGATTTAACAGACGTCGTTACAATAATATCTTTATAAATCTTTGAAAAGGAATGAACGTGAAGATATCTGAATAATATGTTATAATATATAACACACCTCGACGATCGTCAAATTGTTAAATTTTAATATACGAATAATGATGCGAATGCAGTGTGCAGCTCTGGATTTTTTTTTGTTTATGATTGGACATGTAATAATACAATGATGACACAACTCCTAATGAAAGCAAAATTTTATTGTTAATTAAATAACTAAGCCGACTTTAGCCGTCCTGTAGAGATATATATGGAAATACATATTAGTAACAATAAAGTTTTATAAGTATTAAAAAATCTATTTGTAAAATAGTGCATGTGACGCATTAATAGTGTTAGAAAATTTATCAAAATTAATATAATAACGTTGTAATAAGCCCCACAATAATCTTAGTGCTCACTGGTGATGATAAACGTGCATTTTATTATTAATTGAAAATAGGTTTCTTTACTAATAACCTCATCGTCTTTACAATAGTGAATGCTCAGATTTTAATGATCTGATAATAAGATTCAAGTGATGCTAGGGTGTATGAGATAATAAGTTACGAAAAAAGGCACGTAGGTACTTACTTTAAATGATTGCTATCATTGACTCAAAATGTCACTTGATAAGATAGATAAATAAGGCGTATTGCTTTCGAGATTAATATATCACGTAAAGCAAAATTTCGTCATAGATGTCTCTATCGTATATTCGTAAATCAAGCGAGCGACATTTCATCGTTGCCATTAAAATCCATAACGATTGATCATGCATGAAATATGCATAGTGTGTTCGTAGAGGAAGTTTTAAAATGAAGAAAGTTACAAATAATATAGTTTTCCAAATGTACCGGTTTACACCGCGTCCTAATTTCGTTGTTTTTGTTGAAAATTAGAGTTGTTTATTTATGATTGTAATCATTATCAGCTTTTTCAAGTACACTCACTCTCGCTGGATAACTTTAGTTCTAATAATGAACTGGCTGAGCTGGTGCATGCTTGCATTTCTGGAATAGTTTCCGTACTGCCACACTAGGTAGATTTGAGACGACTAAACTAATCGATATTCTACGTAGTTATTTGCTGTGTGATCTATTTTAGCAGTTATATGATAGTTTTGCAAAGCGGCTGGAAGGAAAATCATCATCATGTCCATGACAGTTTTGATTATGAGTTGACTTTCTAAAAATATACTGCGAAAGTGTCCTAATAAACGCAGAGGCAGCTTTAGCAGCTTTAGCTAATGTAAAGCCTTAAATACTGTAAAAATAACCATAAATTCAGTTTCGAAGATAACTAAATTTATATCTTGTGATTCAAAATTTGGCTTCAAAATATTATAATGTTATGATAGCAAATTTTTAGATAGTTGTATATATATATATATATATATATGTGTGTGTATATATATTTACTGCTACTTTTTCGTACGCGGTATGGTCATAGTAAATTACCTTGTGTCCGTGGAATTTGAAACACTCTATTTTTTTGTATTAAAGAGGCGTCATATACAAATAAATTGCAAATGAACAAACATTCAGCCCCGGAACAATTATTTATAGGCCATACAAACATTTGTTTCGTGCGAGATTCAAACCTTCGGCCGCGGGTTTTCTCACTCTTTTTATTAATTTTAAGTGTGAATGAATTTGATAGAATATAATGTAATTATATATGATAGAATAAAATGGGTCATACTTTTCAAAAACACTATAATTAATGAATGTAATATGTATAGCCAAATATTATTTTTAATTACACAGTTTTCGCATAGTGATGTGCAGAATTGTGAAATTGTGAAGTGATTTGTAATCCCGGGGCAGCGTGTTTATCTTAAGTTTCATAGTCAACCTGATCCTCGGTTTGGTCCCCGGTAACGGTATCATAGTAATTGTTGATTATAATTTACCATGAATCATCTCCGGAGATATAGGAAAACAATTTGATGAAACTTGCATTTATTAATAACGAACAAAATTATTTTAAAGGCCTATACCGTCCGCCAACCCGTGCGACTGCAACTTATGGCTGCATCAAGAATGGGTCGGCTCGACCGAGGAAGGATCACGGTCTTATAGAATGCCCGTGTATAATGAAGGCAAAATTCTGCTGTGTTTTTATTGCTGATTATAAAGAAACGGTTTTTCTTTTTACTAGTAACGTGACCTTCACTTTTAGTCCTCATGGATGATAACACATATATACATGTATGTTGTTTCTTAATCACGGATAGATAATGAGCTGATATTGACTGAGCACTTATTAACTATCAGACGCAGTGATTGATTCGCTGCCCTTACTACTATAAAATGACCTGTTTTGTGCTTTTCTGTCCTACAATAATGAAAAAAGATGCATTTGTATTTTGTATATACCTCGCAGTGGAACACAGCGGTTCTTCGAACTTAATTTTTTTTTAAATTCTCTTATATACGGTCAATTGCAAAAGTCTATATAGAATAAGCGGAAAAAAAGGTAGCAATGGAAATATTACTTACTTGACATTGGCAGAATTCTATTAAAAGAAGCTAAAGATTAAGAGATAATAAGAAAATATTTTGAACCTAAAGTTGTTGTGTTAATGTTTATACCACCGTAAAATAGCAGCATAAATGGTGAAGAGAACTGGATAAGACTTTTAATTAGCTTGCTACATATATATTTATCTATGCTTTTAATAGTTACGGACATAGATAACATACATATGTTCAGTGGTGACAACGCATTCTACATTTTCATTCTTATTCAAGGATAGTTGTAAGTGTCTATGCCTCGCAGCACCCACTTTCCTTCAAAGGCTGTCTGTCCGTTTATCACCTTTATTCTGTAAAATACCTATTATTGTTGACAGATCATGTAATTTATTTAATCTTTATACTATTTAAATACTTAGGTAGGAAAGTAGCACTTTTGCAAGTGACCGCACATGAAACTAGAACTCTGAAGTAATTTGAAATGTATAGCTTCTTTTAGGTGGCAGGGTTCCTTTTTTGTTCTGGAATATGTGTGGATAACCACGTTAATTTTAAGGGTATGTAGAACGAGTATAATGACAAACAGTGATGAAGGATTTATCCTTCATCACTGTCTGTCATTATACTTATTGGGCTTAGTCCTGAGATATAATTATGAGTTGCGGAGCTACTTATCAGTTGGACTATTTTATTAGATCGCTTGTTATTTTAATGGTATAAAAATGTTTCCTCTTCATCATCAACCTGCAAAAATTTACTGCTGAACGTGGGTGTCTCTTGTTGGAAGGATTTCCCTTAATTGCCATGCTTGGCTGGCTAACTGGCGATCACTACTACCAGACGTATAAAACCTTTAACGCTGCTCTCGAGATGGTTATATGTCCATCTATCAGAAGCTATGAGATCTATTTTATTTTATTTCATAGAATAAGGGGGACAAACGAGCACACAGTCCACCTCATCATCTACATCTATCCTCATAAAGAATGAAAATGTAGATGCGTTGTTGTGAGCACTAACATGGAATGCCTCTTTTCCAGTAAAATGGGTCTCCAGTTCCCTACACTCACCATACGAAACACAGCAGTGTTAAGCTGCTATTTTACGCTGGTATTCTGTGAGAGCGTGGTCCTATCCTGGTCGAGCGGACCCATTCGTGCTACAACCATAATATAGCTGCAGCGTGGCTGCACCACGTACAAAATCTAATCATCTAAATATTTAAAAATGTAGACCTTTATGGGGTTTCCCATAGTTGCCTATTAGAATACCCACGGGACTAAATCTGACAAGTATCTTACGCTACTATCACATAACCTAAAATATACTAATAAATAATATTGATTGATACACAGGAGGAGCAGAGAGATTTAACTGCCGTGGTCGCATCTTGGGTGCCTATTATGCTGACGCCAAATCCGGTTGCAAGGCATTTCACGTCTGTGTGAACGTTGCCGGTGGCGGTATTCGAGATTTTAGGTTTTACTGCCCGCCTGGTACGCTGTTTCACCAGGAGGCGCAGACCTGCACCGACTGGGGCGACGATGATCCCCTCGCCTGTCCAGCCGACATCTACGACGGTCAGTTCGATCTCTACAAAATCGGATCCGGTGAGCGCTTTGCAACTAACACCAATAATACCGCTTCCCTTACAGCCCAATGGTTTTAAAGCAAAAGGCCATTTACGAATTAAGTAGACTTCAGGTTATTGATTGTGATGATTGTTTGAATATTATCTAAGTAGACATAGCATAGAATAGAGTTAAGTTGGTCAAAATTAAGGTTAGAGTAGAGAGCGTTCTGTGAAGCGTACGAGGTGACGGCGTGTACGGCAAGGAGCTCGAACGCCACTCAGCTTACTAAAACACAACAAAGGGCAGTGGCGTAGCATGGCTGCCACTCACAGGGCCGCTAGAGGCAAAAATGCCGCTCCTTAACCCTCCCCCCTATTTTTGAAAGTACATTAAAACTATTTGAACTGTCAGTTTTGAAATTATATTGCGATTAAATAAGTTCATTATATTTAAATTTAATATATATATTTTCTTTAGTAGTATTGTCATTTTTTGGCAATTTATTATTGATAGTCAGGTAAATGTTATATCTATTTCAGAATTGTCTATTATTAAAAAAATAAGTATTCATTAAGAGCTATTTTTCCGACCTATGAGATTTTCACAGGCAATATTTAAATAGTCCTTGATCCCCCACTTCCCCGCGCTACGCCACTGACAATGGGTGTTTGCCATGCACGCCGAACGGCCCGCTCCACTTAACTCTGATAGAGCGTTTCCACACTAACGGCTTAAATTGATATAACTCATAAATACGCGCTGTTGAATATTGAATAGTGGTGGTACTTATAAAAAAGATAAGACAACTGTACTTCATGCATAGTATTGCAAATTCAAAAATTATATAAAATATTAATGCATTGTTTATCTTTTCAACTGCTTTGAAATTGGAATATAATATATTTTAATATGGATAAAACAAATGAATGCCTCGTCATACAAGAATGGTTAATGGAATAAACGCAGAGCTTGAAACGCTTGTATTGTTGTGCTTATAATTTAAAACAGGTAGCGCGTTATTATTGCGAGGCTTAAACGTAGCAAAAAACTACAAAATATTTATTCAACAAGGACTATTTAGAAGAAAAGATTAATAACTTTTTCTTTCGCAGGATTTGACACCAGAAAATTGTCGCATGAAAATCGCGATGATGAAGCTGAATTTGGCTTGCAGCGTGCGGAGACAGGAGATCGACGTTTGTCCGAAAATAATGGCGCATCAAACGCCATATCTTCAGATCTGCGAGCCGCGCACTCTTCAGACTTTTTCAGTGGCCAAAGAGATCGTGGCCGTGATGATCCTCTGCCGCCTGCACCCAATGCTCAGCTCAATGCACAACCAGTTATATCGCCCATCTCGTCATCGCGACAATCTTTTAGAAGAGCTACTACATCTCGTCCCAAGCCTACAACTACACAATATACAACAAATAACTCACCAACCCAGCAGCCCACATCCTTGCCCTCAAAGCCTGACCGATATAATCAAGCTCCCAAGCGTAAATTAACTAGAAAACGTCCCATCTACACGACCACGCAATCTCCTGCTACATTCGCGTCAGATACATTTAGTCCCCAAGCTTACTCAGAGCAACCACAGAATTACAACCGAAGAATTCCATCACAAAATACACAAGACTTCGCATCGACAGTAAACGTTCCACCACAGTACAAGGACGAATATGTAGAAGTTAGTAGAGTAACGCCAAAACCAATTAGATATTTCTCCAAAAGCCCTTCTTCTACTCCTTTTACTCAGCCATTGGGAGAGCCGCAACCCAAGAAAAGCGGTCTGGCAGAGGAATATAAGTATGACACTCAATCGTCATCAGGTATTAAGGCACAAAATGAGAACCGCCCGTTCAAAGTCCGAAATAGTTTTAGTGTGATACCAAATGTTCCAAACGAAAATGACTTCTTAAGAAGCCAAAGTTTTAATCGTGAAAGAGGTACTCCTACAACTACAGACTTTAGTGCTACGACGCGTGGTTTTCTAACGAGTACATCGGCATATAGAAATGTTAACAGTATCTCTTACGAACAAGAGAAAAATAATTATAATCAATTCCCAAGCTCTAAACAAAATTACTTTTATACTCCTACGACTACTCCTTCAACCATCGCGACCGCTTATACAACGACTACACGATATGAATCTCCTCAAAGTTTAAACACAATAGCGTATAATACAAACAACGCTTTCAATGCACAATCTAGTAATTTTGCGGACAGTAATGAAGATGACGGACAATATCGACCACCTGAAGGTGAAGACGATGGTCAATATAGGCCAGAACTTTATGAGAGAGAACTTTTATCAGGTGCACACTCTCTTAACATCGCCGCTAGCGGTAACCGATTGCTAGAAGATCAAAAAACGCAGAGCAAAAATCAGTTTTCCCGCAAACCTGGTGCGGGAGCATCTGTTCCGCGACCTTTTAGACCGGCCCCAAGTGTTGCAACATCCACGCAATTGTCAATAATTCCTGAAATTACTTACTCGACAACGCTTCGACCCATTCCCGATATAACACAGCGAACATTCGACTACTACCAAACATACACTACGACGTCTAGACCATTCGAGTCAAAGGCCCCTGGTCCTGCAAATAATAATGCCCCATCATATGATTCTACTCCAGCGAGAATAACAAGTACATCAGTACCAAGAACTTATGATCCGCAACGAAGTCAAAATCGTGAGACACCACAACCTACTAACGCACCCGCGCCCGCTCCAAGACCTACACATCGTCCACACCACTTTGCGAAACCTGCTCATAACAAAGAGGACACAAGCTATGATTATGCCTACTACGATTCTGATTCTGGTTTTTCAGAATACGACCAGATAGAAGAATTTGGTAGAACTAATACTAAAGGTTAAGAGTTTTTTCACTAAAACTAAATGCCATTAATTTAAATGCCTCAATGAATTCGTTTTTAAGATAATTTTGGAGTGCAGACTGGTGTACATATAAATTCCTGTCCATTTAAAACATACGATAATTATTGCAAGTAGATTCTAAAACTAAAATATCAATTCAAATAAAACACGCAATTTAAAAAAAAATAATGCAATATTAACCGGAACTTAAATAGTCACAAATTTAGGTCTAAGAAGTAACACGCAGTACATACTGAACATATGAACTTGTAAATATTTCACCAGTTCTTTTTTTATAATAATACTCGATTTAGACTGAAAAGTTGCCAGTTTTATTTAAATATCTGTTGAGGCTTATTTGTATTAAAGTTACCCTAAATTATATTGTGATATTTTTATGAATATTTCTAATTCATTAGTTAAGTTAAAATATTTTTGTATAATTATTTTGATTGCATGATAATGTTGCGATTGTGAAAATTATATTCAGTTTATGTATTTCCCAGCCTACCGTAAAGAAGTAAGTTTGAATGGCTTACTTTATAATAAATAATTGTAAATAAATTTTTCTTAATACAATGGAATTGTGTAATGTTTATTTCAAGGCGTATGTTCCAGTCCGGCGATGTGAATTATAAGTACATAAATTATATTTAGTGCATTGGGTTATATGTACTACGTACTAGAGAAGCCATTCCAAGCAAAAACTGTGTCCTACTCTATGATTTCACGCATGCGCGAAGATTTTAATTTAATATAAAATATCTTAATTTAATCCTCAACAAACATATTTCTAAATAAAATGTAATAATAATTATTTTATGGAATTCACAAATCTTCAATTTACGCAATATTTAGTTTGTATGGATTGCACTACAGTTCAGTTGAACATAGTCAATGTTCGGAATGGCTTCTCTAGTACGTAGTACATATAACTCAATGATTTAGTGCATATTAATATGGACAACAAAAAAAGGAATTTTGGTTTCAAAACATTTTAGTCACGATAAAAAGGCTGAAATAACAAATGAAGCCCGTTCGTGGATTTTGAGAACCTACCAATAAAGTGTCAAAGAAAAATGAAAGCTGACTAAGAGAAATTAATGTTACTTTAAAACCTGGTAAATTATAATTTGTTCCTAACCTTAACATTTCCCTTTTTTAAAGAATATGGGTGGCATACGAGCACACAGTCCACCTGATATATCTACAGATAAGTAGATGCTGTGGCCCATAGACATCTACATTTATCATCAAAGAATCAAAATGCAGGTGCATTGTCACCACTGAGGACTAAGATGGAATGCTTCATTTTCGGTCAAAATTTATAGCTCATCACTTACGTTAACTTATAAGATCGGGTACGTGCAAAAAATTGATATCTTATATTTACGCGAATACTGCACAGGGAATAAAACTAATTTTACGGGTTTTATAGCGTTTAATTTTAACTTTTTTAATTCAATCCATAAAAACCTGGCCAAAAGAACATATCGCTGTTGTGAGGTAGCGACGCGTGACGTTCCGGGAAGTCTGCAGTATGTCAACATGTTCAGGATCGTTCCAACCATTATAACAGATTTGATAAACCACAAATCCTCGTAAAAGAACACCGATTTCTACCAAGGGTGATTCCTGAGGCTATTGAAATTATAAAACTTCCCAATTTTAATAGAGAAAATGGCTAGGTGCTATCATCTGCTTGCTATCATCCTATAAATAAAATGAAATCCAAACCCAAGCATAATACTGCAAGACTTCAAGATACTGTAGGCTGGTTTCGCGTAGATCGGACCAAAAAATAATAATTAATAGTTAAAGGTTTCGTTAACTATGCCATCAGGACGTCAAATACCCCATAGAGAATATACTAATGGGTGGGCCATTTAAGATTTGGAATTTGATTCAACTATAAAATAACGAACGACTAGTTTTTTTCAAATTTATAAGTTTTTTAGAAAGATTGAACTTTTCCATTTAAGAATGGAAGACAACATCATTCAAATGACTGCCACGGTTAGCCTTACAATACCATTCCATCAGTCCAATTTTTCAATAAATTTTCGATTGTTTGAGCCTCTATGTCGTCAATCGTCTAGATGGTTATCCTTAACGGCTCCCCACAAAAAAATGTCCAACAGAGTGAAATCGCAGCTTCGAGGTGGCCAATTGACCAGCAATTCGGCTAATTATGCGATTACCGAAAACTGTGCGCAAAAGATCGATCGTTACGTTGGCTATGTGGCTCGTTGCGCCGTCCTGTTGAAACCAAATATCGTCTATGTCATCCTCTTCAATTTTGCGAAACAAAAAATCGCATAGCATGGCGAGGTAGCGATCGCTATTCACTGTAACGGCGATTCCTTGCTCATTGTCGAAGAAAAATAGCCCAATAATACCGCCATACCGAAATCCGTACAAGCCAGTGACTCGTTGTGGATGCATTGGTTTCTCCACGATGACGTGTGGATTTTATGAGCCACAGATACGACAATTTTGCTTATTGATTATTGACGTATCGTTTGAGGTGGAAATTTGCTTCATCTTCATGATTTTTCGGTAAAAATGCTCATCTTCGATCAAGCAGTCTTCGGCCCATTCAGCAAACCGAAAACGCATCGGATGGTCATGCGGCTTCAGCTTTTGCACTAATTGAACTTTATACGCATTTATACCGAGATTTTTATGCAAAATTCATCTCAAAGAAGTGCGTGAAATGTTAAATTCATGAGAACGATGACGAGTTGATGTTGATGGTTATTCACGCACATTCTGAGCAACAGCAGTGATGTTTTCGGTTGAGCGCACTGAAAGAGTACGTACACGGGTTGTTTTATCCAACAAAGATCCAGTTTCACAAACTCGCTTCGCAAAATGATCCACAAACTGCGTTTTTGGCATATCCTTTTTGTCAATTTTTTTTCGTAAACTTCTTACAGTTTGAGTAGAAGACTCACCACTTTGGAAATAAGTTATTAATATTTCCCACCTATATTCAAGCGAAAAGCGACCCATTTTATAAATATCAAACATAAAAATAACTTTCTGTCACAACGGAAATGTCATCAAACCTTCCAACTTCAAAATAACCTATAGTTCCAATACCAAACGTTAGATGGTCCATTCTGTATATAGGGCAGGTCAATGATTTCATGCGCTAGTAATATAGAAGTCAATGGGGAGCAGTCACTCCAGTGACCATGGGTGCTGTAAAGTGCCCGAAACATCGGGAATAATTAAAAAACTATATTCCAAAAAAAATTCTTAAGCATGAAAGTTTCTTATCTGCCAGTAGTCTCGCAGTCCTCCATCTGGCTATACTATCATTAAAGATGATTATTTAAACACATTTTAATTAAAATTTTAGGATTACTAATAATTTTACGACAGTACCATAAAATCTTATTCTTTTTTTCAACAAGAGATTTACATGTAGGTGCGAAAGTTATTTATATTTATCACTATCTTATGAGTTATTTTCAATAACTTTCGTCCCGTGATTGCGAAGAGGCGACCATGGGATGGACATCCCAAAAAGATTACGTCGCTTTCAATAGACAACGATGTGATGACCATCCTGTTTTTGTCAGACGTAAAATAAGTACCGGCAAAGAGAAACACCGTCAAAGGCGCGAGACATCTGGTAGAACGATCATCAATCCACCTGCAGAGCGTGTCGTTACGTCAAAGCCTTTATGCAATAGAAGCATTCAATGCGTGTTCTTTACGTGGTAGAGCCATACTGCAGCAATATTATGTTTATTGCACGAATAAGTCGACCGGTGGAGAACAACGCTCTTACAGAATACCAGCGTAAAATAGCAATGCTTTTTTGGTGGTGTGAGTGTGAGGGATGACGATGCATCTGCATTTTGATTCTTAAACGAGGATAGAAGTAGATGTCTTTAGGTCACAGCACCTAATTACCATCAGACGAACTGTGTGCTGGTTTGCTAGCCTAATTCTATAAAAAAAAAAAACCGGCCAAGTGCGAGTCGGACTCGCGCACCGAGGGTTCCGAACAAATCCGTAGGTATATAAGTTTAAAATTATTAAAAATATTTTTATTATATGATGTAACTAAAAATTTATACTTTTCGCAATTTTTCCTTTATCTGTGCTATAACACGTTGCTTCGTACCACATTTTAAGATTCTGATTTCACGGGAAGTACCCTGTAGGTTTTCATTCCCTTGCGAATGTCGAAAATTTGCGGCATAAACGGCTGTATGGTTTGATTGCGTTGGCTTAGAAGTTTGAGTTTTTTCACAGCTTCAAGGGACAGTAGACGAGTATTTGGTACGAATTTCAGCGTGATACCTCCACGAGTTCCTGAGAAAAAGGGTCTTGACAGACAGAGAGACGGACAACAAAGTGATCCTATAAGGGTTCCTGTTGAGGTACGGAACCCTAAGAATGTCCAATCGAGGGGTCAATAGCTGATAACCTATTCCTTTCTATTTTGGAAATAATATTTAAAATAAACGGCATAATATTAAATATGACTTACTTATGATTTTAATTAAGCCGTTACCGTTACCATTACAGCGTATTAATAATAATAATAATAATAATAACTGACGGACTGCATCACTACTGGCTGAAGGGGTTCGTGGTGTGTCACGCTGTTCTCGCCCGATAGTTTCAAGAGGCTCTCGACCAAAAGTCGCTCCCGAGCCTCTTCACTACTGGGATCACTCATTTGGTTCCTAAAGACCGAGATTCCACAGACCCGAGCAAATACCGCCCCATAACGTGTCTACCTACCATATACAAGACACTGACATCCATTTTGAGCGCGAGAATCACTCGTCACCTGAACTCAAATCAGGTGATGTCGCGCGCTCAAAATGGATGTCGGGGCGGCGGTCGTGGAACCAAGGAACCACTCCTCATTGACGCGGTCATTGGCAAGGTGGTTAAACGCAACCGTCGGAACCTCTCCGCCGCCTGGATAGACTGCAAAAAGGCATTCGACTCGGTGCCTCATACATGGCTGA